TCGTCGTGGCCGTTTTATTATGGCCATTTTTGGATGACAACAAGAGGGCTTTCGTCGTCACAAGAGCGGCTCGCAGTTCCCAGGGTTTCCTAATCACTCCCAAGAACCATTAATCACAGGGTTTCCTTGCTCTTGGATGATTTATTCATGGTGGGTTTCTCTCGCTTATTCTCCCTTTCCCCTCCTTTGTTTCTTCCGCTTCGAAGTCATTGCAATGACGTTTAAGATCGGAAGTGTATTCTGTGTCTCGTAATGTGCGAGTCGATTTTCTCGGCAGATTTTTAGTGCAAAGTCATATTGTATTCGCGGATGCATGCTAACTCTTACCGTCGCTCTCGTGCTATTCTGAGACCGGCTTCCATCCCTCCACCTCCACCCCCGCCTCCCCCGCCCACCACAACCGCCTCTCCTGCTGACCCTCGCAACAGACAAAACACATGCGACCTCATACAACCTGCGACCCAAGCCACCACCCGAAGTGACCTGACCATTTTTGCTCCTCTGGCAAATTATCAGGCTGATGTTTTGCTTTGCAGTATTAAGAGTGTATCCGTGGTTTGTCAAGGTGCAACGAATTAGCCTCTGAGCTTGTGCAAACGTTGGCCTTAATTACGCTCTCGTACAACTATATGATGCATTAAACTGTCTATCAAGTAAAAGTATACATGACACTTAAACATTATATGAAGAATAATCCTAACGATACAATACCTGAATCATATAAAAACGTGTCAAGAAATTCAGAAATTTTCGTTAACCCGAAGTCAAATAAAGAAAAATAGTAAATAGAGAGAAAGAGATTGAAGAACGAAAAACATCGACGGAAATTCATACTTTCCGCCTCGCTCAAGGGACATCGAGGTGTCAACAGCAAGACAAATCAGCAGCATTTTGCTTGGCCGACACTCAGCCGCCACAGAGGACGCTGATCAAGGGATGTTGCAGCGTCAGAGAGATCGGCTGCTTACTCACATACCTAAGCGCATAGCAACGTCCCTCGCCTCCTGACGGGGGAGGATATCATGAAGGCGATAAAGAAATTGTTGCACTAAGCTATATATAGAATGGTATGAAAAATATTTAGGGTATACATTCTAAGATACAGAGATAAAAATATATGGACAGACCGTTATACGAGAAAGAGGGAAGAGAGTAAGCTCGGCTATCGCGACCCGTTAAGGAAATGTCTTACTTGTGTGTATAAAGTAAATCTTAACCATTTCTAAACAAGGCTTATCGCATGCGAGTTTATGTTCCCGTCGGTTGAGATTCCTTCACAATTACCTTACGTGGCCTTGTGTGACCTCGCGTGACCTTCTTCGTCGGCCTAACAGAGAAAATGTAATTGTTTGTTGCTCCTCCCACTAGTTAACTAAACAAACAGTGAAGTAACAGTTAATGACATACAGTAACGCCCTTACTGCACCAGCCTCGTGTTTCTCAGATCGGGCACAACAGCAACAACCTGTCATTTGAAATAATCAGTATTTTGAGAAAAAACATTTTTCTTGTCAAACTGCTGTTAGCATTCTAACAACGGTGGGAAGGCATTCGTTTGCTTCGAAATCATGCGCTTTCAGTTTCCACCCGATAAACAGAATAGGAAGTGAATTTTCGTGGCTGCAAATAAACCGCAGTCGTCTTTTGCCGCATTACGCGACCATTTCATAGCCAGACGTGAACCAACTACATACGTAAACTTGCGAGATTAGTTTGCAAACCTTTGCATCAGGCATATAATGCAAACTGAAAACAAATTGACTGAACCATCCACTTAGTGTTTGTATGTTCTTTTTTTCTCCTCCTCTCTTCTTACACGCGATCCAAGGTATTTGCTCAGTTCATTTGCACTTGCTGAGATCTTTCATTTCCATTTACATTTCGGCGTCGCTCTGTCCGGGGAACCAGACAGGCAGGGAGAAGGGGGCAGGTAGGGAGGATTTCTTTCGGGGCGATCACTCTTCCTTTGTTTGCTGCTCTTTGAATTAGACGTCAATGCATACTATACACTGTAAGGCTATCTCAGCTTCTTTATACAGCACTGGTCCGGAAGGTAAATTCTTCGCTACCCCATAGGCTCTGGCTATCTCAGTACTCGTCTGTCCGTCTGTCTGCCAGTCGGATGTTAATCTCTCTCTCTCTCTCTCTCTCTCTCTCTCTCTCTCTCTCTCTCTCTCTCTCTCTCTCTCTCTCTCTCTCTCTCTCTCTCTCTCTCTCTCTCGCTTTCCAGTCTCTCTAATCTCCCCCATTTTTATTTCTCCTCTCTTACCACACCGCTCTTCCTCTCCCCGACTGCATATAAGACATTAAGCAACATAAACATATGGAACATAACTGCAATAGCACACACAAGGTAAACTCGGCAACGAAATTTGCTAACATTGAATCTAGCTTTTAACACCGCGCCTTCCTTTCAGCCGCTCAGATGCTTTAACGCCGTAGAAAAATGAGAGCTCGGAGAGACACATTCTGTAAACACGAGGAATGACCCAAGTTGAGTCTTTGTTGCTAAGAACCTTCGTTGGCTGATGACTGGGCGTACGCTCTCTTCCTTTGTGTGCGTGTGTTGTTCTCCGTGTTAGTGTTAGTGTTAGTGTTAGTGTGTGTGTGTGTGTGTGTGTGTGTGTGTGTGTGTGTGTGTGTGTGTGTGTGTGTGTGTGTGTGTGTTGTGTGTGTGTGTGTGTGTGGTGTGTGAAATTAGGCTATTCGAATTCAATAATATACCTAAATAATTTCTCACTCTCTCTTCCCTACTTCTTTTTCTCTCACACACAACGAAAGCTTGAAAAACGCTGAAATATAGCGGTAAATTCCCTACTACGTATATTAGCTTCGGCGGCTGGTAACACAAAAATTAAGACGATAAAAAGTGATAAGATAAGGGGAGTAATAAGGTGGACTATCTAGCGAGCCTGAGCTTACACTTCTTGATAAATTCTTAACTTAATGCTACCTCGAAAACACTGTGGACTCCTCAGGCTCCGCAGAGACCCCGTCGATCCCGCCAACGCCGTGTGCGCTCCCCTGGACTAACGTAACGCCCACGCCCGCCCGCAATTAGTCCTTCCCCCTTTCTGATTAACGAACGAGCCGGCGTATTCGATAACAATGCTAAACATCTACCAGACGTGTCAAAGCAATGAACATATTGAATTTCACAAACTGGTAACCACAACACGATTTCGTAACGAACAAGTCAGGAGGTACGTTACATACCACGCAGACAGTCTTGCGTGTTGTTTTGCCGAGGCGTTAACACTCCTTTGCGATCGACCCATATTCTAAACTGCTGATGGGTATCTTTCATTAATTATTTCTTTGAGTAAATTCTGATAGGTGAAGGTCTACGACCGCCACTGTATACATCGCTCGGGCTATTTTTATTGTTATCGTGGTGTTATTAATTTGTTATCACTATCCCAAACGTCACATGGTGTATATATGCACTTACTCCTTTCACATTACTAAGAACAGCATATTGCATTTCAGTTCTAACATACAACCACTTATCACAATCTTTTCGACTAACTTATCAAACTTTACATTTTCAGATAATGTTTTTTTCTTTTTCGAATATTTATGTCTATAAGATAAGAACTTTAAAACTTTCCTTTTTTAATGTCATAGGTCATGACACAATCCCACCAGCATGACCTTTGCCATGGCCAGTGTGATCTGTAGCCTAACCGATCTGCTGAGCAAACGTCCTCTTGCTTGTGTTGTGGTTAAGGATAGTCGAGCAGGGCTTGGGGCTGCGTCAGCACTCTCTGCAAGTACGCCGGAGAGGTCGAGCGTATTGTGCATGTTCGGTGCGAAGGAAAAACGTCGTTTTATTGATGCTAAATGCTGTATGTGAGAGGGAGGGGAGGGAGAGAGAGAGAGAGAGAGAGAGAGAGAAGAGAGAGAGAGAGAGAGAGAGAGAGAGAGAGAGAGAGAGAGAGAGAGAGAGAGAGAGAGAGAGAGAGAGAGATAGATAGATAGAGGGATAGATAGATAGATAGATAGAGAGAGAGAGAGAGAGAGAGAGAGAGAGAGAGAGAGAGAGAGAGAGAGAGAGAGAGTCGCCGTCCTTTCGAAAGAATGCCCGCACAGCTCTCTCTCTCTCTCTGTCATTGAAACCCCATCACACATTTACCAATCAGCAGGACCGGAGCCCAAACCGTAAAGAATACGAAAAAACGAGAGCGCGGACGGTCCAGGGCATCTGCACGTGATGAGCGCAGTAGACGTAGCATCCCCGAACACGTTAATTTAACACTGTCTGGTGACGAGTTTTCTCAAGGTTCGTACTAGAGTCTACCCCCCAAGTTGCCACATTCTCACAGATTTCTGTCCCCTTTTCGACAAATTTGTAGAACAGCGTGGGAACAACGTTGCAAAGGTGGCCTCACTACGTCGAGAGCAGCCACCCCTGGGCAGTTAACACCTGGGATAATGAGGCGATCACTCTCCTACTTTTAGTCTAAGTACTTCAGAGACAACCGAAACATTTCGACCGATAGGCAGCTCCTCTTAAGAAAACCGGGTTCTTAATTGATTCCTGTCATCTGGCTCGCAAACAAGAACTTGCCATATCTCGCGCAGAGGCCAGAGTCAAGAAGTCTGAACCGCAGTAGAGTCCTTTCGACACGTCAGGTCCCACGTCAGGAGGGTTTCACATACTACGGCGCTGAGAGGTGAATGCTTCTTAAACCAAGATGTGTGGAATTTTCCTTTCTTTTTTCGTTGTCCTTTGGATTTGATTACTATTAGAAAGAAAAATATTTTGCTTTGTATCGAACCAGTTTCACATTTAGACACGAATCGGTGCGGACAGATATATGTCAACTTAATTTCTGCTTTTCAGTAATAATTGGGTAAACCTTTTCACAGTTCCGCTCATTAAGCATAGAATGAACCCCTCAGATATTAATAAGGATAGAATTTACATCAATGATATTCAGATTTCCAATATTCCCCTAACGTACAGAAAACGGAAAACAGAAAACATATATTCTTAC